ACATTTGGGGTGCTGCCGCCCCGACTATATTGTCCATGCTCGATGCTGTCCAGAGGAGGGCCGTCCGACTGATCGATGACTCTTCTCTAACAGACAGTCTCGGGACTCTTTCGCACCGGCGGGCCGTCGGCAATCTAGCTCTTTTCTATCGCTACACCAACGGACTTTGCTCCTCAGAGCTCTCTTCCATGATGCCGCCGCGCGATGTGCCTGCCAGACAGACCCGCCTGACTTCGGCGTCCCATCCTAACCGTGTCAAACTTCGTACATCCAGAACTGGCCGATACGACCGCTCCTTTGTCCCGAGGGTGTCTAGATTGTGGAACAATCTACAAGAGGAAGCTTTTCCCAGTTCTGCTAACCTTAGGTAGTTCAAAAATCGTATTAACAAAATTTCTTTGGGATCGTCATAGCAGCCGCGGTGTTCCAGCATTTAGGCTTCTGCCTGCGCGGCTGTTTCGATATAAAAAAAAAATTCCACCATAGATGCACGCTTTTGATGACGCTCATAGCGAGTAAACGCGGAATGTACTATTTGCATACTAGGAATTATCTAGGCATCAAGTTGACGTTTTGTCGTTTTTTTCACATTTCATATGTTTTTCACGCCCTTGTTTCATTTGGTTGAGATCAGAGATACACCAAGTATGACTTTTTTCAGGTCGGGTACTGGGTACTGTCAGTTTTGAAAACCGGCTACCGAGTACTCGGCAACATACTCACTGGGGATGTATTAAATTTTAACTGTAAAAACGTTATTTGTGAAAAAAACTTTTTATTAAGATTTCTTAATGACTTGTTTCAATCCATTTTATTTTTTGTGATTTTTGTTGTCTTTTTGGATGAAAATTTAAAAAAGCCTCATAGTCCTATGAAGTTTCTATGCAAATATCATAAATTTCATTCATTCATGAAAAATATCTGACTTTTTTATGGTGATTCAACTTCTTGAATAATGGAGCAAACACTTTATTTATTACATCTGTAACTGCTTTATTTACTCAAGTGAAATGTGCTTGCGTTCAGGCCGAGTAATGTGTAGTTCTTATCGATACTAAGTACTCGGTGGAACGCTTATTCAGTCCATCTATTTTCTCAATGTCTTTTATTATTACATATTATGTAGCATATCTTGTTAAGCGTGTATCACTCAGTTGTTGATCAGATTCTGTCGAATACGTGCTCAGAAATATCGAATTGTATCGAATCTCTCCCGTTCCTGCAAAATGTGCTTGCGCGAATGAGAAGGTTGACGAAGAAACTCCCTGCTAACAGTACTAGTCTAAAATTTCCGGATTATGAGAATAATCTGAGCTACTGAGGGTGCTGACATTAGTAATTTTACTGTGAAAAGACATGCGGTACAGTTATCTATATATGGGAATTTTATAAACGTTTACAATAATGTAGATTATCAGTGTTTTCATTAATTGTGTGTATATGTTAATATGTGTATATTTTTCCAGACGCTTAAAGCAATACGTGATTTGATGTCCGATGAAGTCCCATCCGAGATTCTTGTGTATTTATTGACTTTAGTAGACATGCCACTGGAGCAAGGCGGTAACTTTTATCCAGTCATGGAAAAAATCCAAAAAGCTTATCCATGTTTCACGGAAAAGTAGGTATTTTGTCAATCATTGGTATGTAATGCGCGATAAATCTCATTAAATTTTACGATGATTACAAGGTCCGGCCTAATTTGTCAATATTCGAAATCCAAGAGTACTTTGGAACGAAAAATACGATGCCTTCATTTTCAAATATCAGTTTGGTTGGTCTTTCTATTCGTCGTTGTCTGTTAGAGTGGTGCGAAGGACCTTTGCTCTTGGTTAAAATTTTGTAAGTCAGTAGAGGTCTGTCAGGTCTGGTTGTCTAGATACCAGGCAAAGTCAGGGAGACAGAATAAGGGAAGAAAGAAGGAAGGAGGGAGAGTAAAGTAGGAAGAAGTGCGTCAATCTGAAGGGTGCCTTGGCGTTGTTAACTAGTATTCGGGAATTTATCCTAAAATTGATTTGGAATATTTTTTTTTGTTAAACTCAAAGCAGCACGATTTAATTTTATTCACAGTATGAGCCGTGGCCTTGTGTGCTTCCTAACTTTCGCGACTGTGTATAGTCTACTGACTCGCGCAACAAAGGGTTGCTATGCGATTCCGCTTGACTGCAACGTAGCTGCGCTTATTTGATGTAAACCCTTAGATAAGGGATGCCAAGGTCTCTGTGAAGGGTCTCATTGAAGACATACCATGGGGCGTTATTGATTGTACCCAATGAGTTTCGCCGAGAAACCACCAAGCCGCACTAGCGTAAGTGATCGCTGGTCTAATAACCTTCTTGTATAGCCAAAGTGTGTTAATCAAACTTAATTTTGAGGTTCTTCACAGCATAGGGTAGAGTTGCCGAAACGTGATTTGGAATTTCGTTTTCAACGCTTCAGTGTGCTTTTGGCAGGTCATCCCCTTGCAAGAGTGACACCGAGATACTTAGCAGAATTTGACCATGGTATCCGAGCTCCGGTCACTGAAATCTCAGATGAGGCGCGACTATTTTTAGTACAATGAATAGCCCCGTTTTCGAATGATTAATTTTGATCAGCCATCGATCCTCCCAAAACACGACTGGGCCACCGGCACGGGTAATACGTATCTCTTTGACATTATATTGGTTTTTGTGACATAATGTAGGCTTTTCTACAAGATGTTAACTTGGCCCTAGCTGATGGACACTTGTTGTGAGCTCGTTTTGTAGTTGTACGTGCTGCCTAAATGTCATGATGCTTTAGTTACCAATGTTTGGCTCTGATGTGATGTAAAATCTGCTTCAAAGATGGCGTTATTGGAGGTCTAAGAAGTAAGCTGTATACTATAGCTAGAAGGAAACGGCAATCATTCCACGTTTGCTCACTAAGATCGTTGTGAACGTCCATCTATGGAGGAATCATTCAACTAAACTACACGCATTGATGGTTGCATACAGGGTGACTTCGAAGTTGAGTCATTTATTTTAACAGTGAGTAGATCTGATCAAAAGAAATGTTTTTTTCCTTTACCATTTTTCTGGTAAAATTAAAGTAACAAAGTTATAGCCCTTTGGAAGTTTGAGTACCGCCCTGTCTCAATAATAATATCATGTACTCGTGTTTGGCAACAACGGATATAATCCGCCTTACCGGTTCATCGCATCGGAAACAAAAAAGCGAAAGAATTTGGAACGACGTTTTTGCAATTAAGTATTTTATTCAGTTCAGTTATACATACAGTCGGTTAGCGTGTGAATAGTGTCTGTTGCGTGGCTCAAACGAAATAAAAAATGGCACATGTTTATGCGGATCGGTTTCCCAATCGAGTGCAACCAACCCCTCGTGCCTTTGTTAATGTAGTACAACGGGCTCGTGAATCAGGTGACTTGAAGACCTCACAGGGGACCTCACGATCAAATACAGGTCCGCACTGAAATACTTGTCGGGAGGATACTTTATAAAACAAGGTAAAAATTTTTTTTTAATTTTTTTTTATTTTTACACACATATTCTGGTTTATCTTCCTTCTACAATCATTATCTGAAAATTAATGACTCAACTTCAAAGTCACCCTGTATATTTTGTGAGGCCGAGTGGTCTGTAGTTTTTATCTCTGAGAAGAAAGTTTGTTGAATAGCAAGATCGCATCTGGATGGTTATGTGTATTATCTGCATGTGTATAAAATTAGTGATATCTGCTGTGTGAGAAAATGTTGCCAATGAAGTATATCTATTAGCTGTGCCCGATGGGTTATTTATATGTTGTCCTTTCTGAAGACAGGTTATGTTCAAAGTTATAAATTACGAAAGACTTTGAGGAAAATTACGGGAAATTATCACCCTGAGGGACAGAGGCTTTTATGGTCCATGATGTCGTTATTAATTTTGATCCGAAATTTCCTACCCCCAACGAAGGATTTCAAAAGTTTTAGAATCCAGAAGGGAAAGGCCTTTTGGATCAATTTGTAGGGAAGGCCTTTGTGCGACACCTTGCCAGATGCCTTTGAAATATCCAAAAGCACGATGCCAGTACTTTCGTTACGGGTGAATCCCTCTCATTTTGAGTAGTCGTAAATGAGCTCGAACAGTAGGAGCCGCTATGCTGTCATCTCTTGCTACGTCCGCGTATGACTTTGCTAGCCTTTGTGCGATAACTTGTAGATTTCCCCTAGGAGTAAATCTACAGGTGGGACTATTCGCCGGATGATCCCCCCACAGTTCTCACATCTGCGTACATCTTGTCCTGTTTGAGGGCACATATTTGACGTACAATACGACTGCGCTTGTCCATACTTCCGAACTTCGACTCTGATCGAGAGCCCCAGCAATTCGTGTTCATTGAACACTTGCTGTGACCTGCCTGTCTTAGGCGGGATCACCACCACCAAGGACAAGGTGAAGAGGAGCATAAACCCTTCTGTTCAAGCTGATCTTTGACCTCTTGTTCGGTGGCTGACGCTGGGATCCCCCGATAACCGGATGGATGTTGCGCTTGGCGGGCAGAGGAAAGGTGTGATGATGAACGTTTTCCTCTTAGAAAAGACGGATTATCTTGCGATTATTCGTCTTCGGTTTTGGGGATAATTTGTATTCAGCGTAAACGACGACTGCTCGTTCAACACTAGTGCCAAGACTTATCAACAAATAGTTTAAAGTGCGCCATTTTGTTGCATCTTCCAAGACGATTGCCGTAATTCGTCCCTGGGGACGCGATTGGGTCTGTGTGTTTAGAGCTGCGCTGGGTTGAAAGGAAGTGGAGCTGCTCCCAGCCAATGGAGCAGACTTTAATTTGGATACAACAGGAGGAGTACTCTGTGTAGATGCTGATACAGGTAGTAGAAACAGCAGAAGGTACAGACACAGTCGGCTTTAGGTTGACTGAATTTTCATTATTAGGAGACTTCGTTGATAGCGGAGGAAATTCTGTCGGGCAGGTGTGAAAACATCACCCTGTATGTCCTCATCAGTCTGCATATGTAGGTCACTCGAATGACATGTCTACGTTTTGCTGTTTTGGAAGAACTGTTAACATTGGCAACTGATTTATTAATAATACTCGTAAAATTAAAAAACTGGACTCCACACAGTCGGTCAGTCGGTGAATCTGGGCTGCTTGGTCTGCAACGGTCTCAAAAGCCTCAGGTTCTCATTTTCCTTCTCCAGTATCGGTGTCACCCCTGATGTCATCATTGGTGTCATCTCATTTTGGTTTTCCGATGTATTTTCCAAAGTAGCGCCACACCTCGCGCCAACTCGACTTAATGCAGTGGAGGGGTCGCCTGGGGACCCGTCGGGGTCAGTTTCCATTAAATTATATTGCGTTGTTTCTTGCCAAAGTATCAACATTTCTCCCGGAGCAAAAAATTTGACAATGAGCCTCCCTGTTTATAGGGCGATTAATTTGGTTGGTATATCACTTCTCCTTATTAGAAACTATTTTAAATACGATAGCTGTCATAATGCAAGTGTCATATTAATACAAAGGTATGATATTAGAGCCAATGAACCGTCGAGTTTTGCATCACCATTTATCACGTTCTCAATCTTGAACCCCTTTGCAGTGTCCGGCCAGTGATGCTAGGACTTCTGTCTACAAATAATAAGACGCAAATGACTGGCAAAAAGATTGAACCTGAAGCTGAGAAAGAACCAACTCCAGAAGCAATGGATAAAAGATGTGATCAGCCAGTAGAAAGGGCGGTAGTCGAGGAAAAAACGAAAAGTGAATTAGGTTTGCCCGCATCTCATAACCAAGAACCTGCAGGAGAAAAGAAAACATTTCTGAAACCCGTAACAAAAAGAAGTAGAAGCAAAAGAAAAATTGGGCAGACTACTTCCAACGAATGCAATAGTAATTATCATGTTTATCATTTTCAACAACCCAGACATACGTTCTTAAAGTATTTTTTTACCTAGCCAGTAGGTGTGGGAAGTAAAATGAAAATATTGTATCTCTAATCCTTCACAAAACTCTTTATAAGAATAAAAGTTTCAATACATGGATATAAAATTTACGTAAAAATATAAATTTTTCAGTATGTTCTTTTTTCAATTTTCAGAGGAACAGAATGAACCTGTGAAGACCCTGTTAGACATCACAGCGAATTATGTCATTAGAAATCAACAACAATTGAATAATTTTTACAAATCACGCCTAAAACACGCTTGGAGAATGATAAATTCAGATAAATACTCTGGAGATACATTGAATCAATGCTATAATGCCGTAAAAGATCTTAATAAAAAGACGAAATTACTGCGCTGTATTGAAAATGACAACATCACCATAGATATTCTAATGGAGGAATATGGAAACAGTGACATTTTTTTGAGAGAACAACATATGCTGCCAGATTACGATCCATTCGAAATTTCAGAGGAGAGTATGGAAATTATCAGGAATTTTGTTGAATCTTGTGATTAAAGTTTATTTAGGATACCGATTGTTCTTTAGTTCAGTTGCATATTGAATAAAAATTCTAATACACCAATTTTCCACTTGCCTTTAAGATTAGTCCGAACCTGTCTCACCATGAACGCTTCAATGTGTTTGTGATAATACGATATTACGGTACACCACCATAGATAACATAGATAGAGTTTCTTTATTTGCTAAACCACACTTACACGTTTTAGCATTGTCAGACTGATGAAGCAAAATATTTGAAATACATTCCTAATAAAAACGAAACAAATACAATAAAATACAAAAAAGTTGATTATCTAAAATTATATAGCCATTTTTAGTTCCTTTTGCCCTGCCCTTAAATTCTTCAATAGTATAGCGGGACAAAGACATTCAAACATTTTTTGTTTCATGCGAAATCTATGAAAAGCAAGCATTCTCATCCTGACTGGGAGGTGATTGTACAGCCGTATTGCCATACTTATACAGGGTGTTCATTTGAAAACTTCCCACCACGGATTTATCGAAAACCACTGATTAAAAGAAAAAACGCAGAGCATGTCAAAAGATTTGTCAAGGGGGACATCTTTTTAACCAAAAACTACTTCACCCCTCTCACCCTCTGCCCCCAGGGTCATATCCTTGAAAATTTTAAATGACAAGGGGTATCGAGTAATAGCTTGTTTGATGAAAGGTCTTTTGAAGTTCTTCATTTGGACGTTTGATTTTTTAAAATTGGTCGATTCGTTTTCAAGAGAATTAGAAAAATATTCATTTATCTTAATTTGTTCAGATAGAAAACAAAAACACACGAAAATATAACTTTTATTCCAATAAGCTTTCAAAATTTTGCCCTTTGTTGGCCAATGATATAGGCGATGTTCATATTCCTGACGGACATTTTCAAAAACATGTGGGTTTTCATAGCAGCTTTCGATGATGCGTTGACGAAGTTCATCCAAACTTTCAGGTTGGGGAGTAAACAATAGATTTCAAATTGCCACATAGGAAAAAGTCTAATGGCGTCAAATCAGGAGATCTATCACGCCATTCTATAGGCCCTCTTCGCCTTATCCATTTATCTGGAAACTCGTTGTCTAGCCATTGTCGAACCGGAAGAACATAGTGAGGAACGCCGTCTTGCTGGAAATATATTTCTGCCTCATCAAGTATAGGGGTTCTATACTCTTCGATTTGGTTTTCAATGGTTTCAGTGATAAGCGGATTGATGGTATTTTCAAACATATCGAAATAAATGTCTCCTTTCAAATTTCCATAAATAAACAATGGCCCAAACAACCACTTTGTTTCCTAAAATGCCTGCCAATACATTTTTTGTTTTTGTACTGGTTATGCCCTTCTATAAAAGCATGATGATTATGCTTATTGTATCGTTTTTCTATGTTATTTTGGGTGTGGATTAAAACACTGGATTCCACAAAAAGAAATGCACTGATTTATTTAACTTGATAAAACATTTATATACACCACTATTTATGTCTGACTAATTCTTATGCCACCATTCACCATTGACTGCACGATACCTCGCTCCGCCATCTGCTCTCTACCGTATTCCGTACTCTGACTCCATCTCCCGGCCGCCGAGTTATATATAGTCCCCATTACAGCCTCGAAAAAAAAAACCGGGTGTACCACAAAGCGACATCTAGAATGTTGGAGATCACTTCGCGTCGATCTAGAAGACGATCCTCTCACGGTCCTCATACACGCCGCGAGGCGGCTTGTGCGCTGTGGTTCGCGTAAAAGCAGAGATCGGCAATTAACCTCCGGCGAGTAGGAGACTCGCCCAACAGATGGCGCTATTTGTCACACTGCCCCCTCCCTAAAGTAATTCCGTTCCGGAATTATCGTACTGGCGGTGGATGTCGATATCGGCACGACGGCCCTCTCTTGCAATAGGAGTTCCTGGAGAAGTAACAATCCACACTCTTTCCAGGAGGTAGCCGTCTAGGGTTGTGACAACATACCAGAAATCGAATGCCTGTATACCGAAAGACTACCTCAATCATGCTTCGAATGATTCTCCAGTCCAGATGCCAGCTTAGGTATTGTCAGTTCTCGGCAAGCAAGACTTCTCTAAGCGAACACAAAGTGTTCCAAACATCTTCATAATTCGGTTTCTGATACGAAGCTTTCTTAGTAACCAGATAGAAGATCTTTCGGTGTCTTCAGTTATCTGGAGTACTTCTCCGACCTCCGGGTTAGATTGCCGCAGCTCGTGCACTCTTCCAAACTTCCTAAGAAATACCTTTGCTATACCTCTTGACATTCGCAAGTCTTGAGCCACAGAGTGTGCCAGGGCATACTCTGGTGCAGTGGTAAACAGATCCTGCTGTACTTCACATGCCACGCCATACTGACTCTTAAGGCCATTAATTAGCATGGTGAGCCATAAATTGGTCAAATGTCATGTCCAATTCCAATTGGATTTGCCGCACCGCCGCATCTTCGTTGTTTAAATGATAAGGTGCAAGGCGGTTGAAATGTACAATTCGGGCTTTATCGCGTGGTGCCTTGTGAATCCTGTAGAGAACATCGTTAATGGCCTCGAGAACTTTATATCATCCCAGGATGATTGAAGTTTAGGCGACAGCCCTTTGCGCCTCTTTGGATCGTAAATCCAAACCGTATCACCGTGCTCATACCTCTGGTCTTTGGCATTAACGTCGAAAGCTTATTTCATCCGGTCGCTGGCACCTTGAATTGAAACACGAATCTATGGATGGCGTCCATTCTTCTACGCAGCTCACGTACGTAGTCTTCTCCGGCAGTGTCAGTTCCTGGTGGACAGCCAAACTTTAGATCGCATGGGAGACGAAGTTCTCTTCCCATAACTATTCTAGCCGGGGTCTCTCCTGTGCTTTCGTGAATCGACGATCGGTAAGCCAATAAGAAGAGCTGAAGAAAACTATCCCAGTCTCTTTGATGGCTTGAGACTACCTTAGCCAGATACCGGTTAATGGTCCTATTCATGCGCTCCACCATTCCATCTGACTGCGGGTGTAAGGCAGTAGCCCTGGTCTTCTTAATCCTAAGAATTTGACAGATACTTTGGAATAAATTCGACTCGCCCTTGGTCCGAATGCAACTCTAAAGGTACACTAAATCGACAGATCCATTCCTTTACCAAAGCGTCGGCTACCGTAGTGGCTTCCTGATTTGGCAGAGCGTATGCCTCAACCCACTTGCTGAAGCAATCAATTACCACAATCATGTACTTATTCCCTGCTTCACTTTCTGGAAAGGGTCCCGCCACATCAATAGCAATCCTTTCAAAGGTTCTTCTCACGTTGTATTGGCGCATCAGAGCTTTTGGTTTCCTTTGCGGTCCATTACTTGCCGTACACACAACGCATTACCTGCACCAATCTTTCACGTCCTCCTTGCTATTGACCCAGTAAAATCTTTCCCTCACTTTTCCCAGGGTTTTTGTAACTCCAAGATGACCTCCTGACACACCGGAATGGATTTCTTCTACAGCTCCGGGATCCGACATCTGGCGATAACGATTTGTCTTCTTTCCTCTTTGCCGTCGTGGTTCACCATTTACGCAGTAAGAGTCTGTCTTCCATAACGAGAGAATTCCATTGTGTCCAATATGATTTTATGGTAGGGGAATAACAAGTAGATGTC